CCAAAAAAAAAAAAATTTAGCAACTGCGTGCTGCAAATACATACAAACAACCAAATACAGAGTTGCTGACTCATGGTGTAACAAACTGGCCTAGGTGACATGGAACCATGTTTATTTGTGTGTCAAACTGGATGAAGGTGCTTTTCTCAGATTTGTTTCTTGTGTTTGAATCCTGTTTACATGTTGTCTGTTTTTTATGTTGGCAGTGGGTTGAGGCTGTCAGGCCATGGTACGTATCTAATATGGTTAACATAATATTTTTCCCATAAAGGAAAAATTGAGTTTTACAAGTTGACAGAAATAAAGAGATGTCAGGAAATTTGGAGAAGAGAGTTTTGCCATTACACCAGAGACCTTGTGCTGTATGAATGGATTTAAGTTGATCGGCAAAAGAGTGATTGGAAGCTAAGAAGTTTGGTGTGTTGCTGAAGGTCAATGGTTGGGGCCTTCCCTCCTTAAACGTGCATTCCTTCTGTTGGCCTGTTACAGACGTGACTGTATTTTGGTATTTTGGTGTACTGTCACAGTTAAAGACTCACTGACAGAAAATGGAAGTGCAAGATGAAATGTGACTTCAGAGGAACAAAGAGGAGGGACTTCAAGTTTGATTAGAAAGAAAGAATTGCCGTAGAGGAGAAGAGACACAAATGGATGAGGAGGAGAAAAGAGATAAATCAGCTGATGTGTGGAGAGGTGTTGGTCACAAAGCTGCAGGAGCTCAGCAGCTTCTCCTCTCATCATCCTTTTCTCTATTGAATGGAGATCCTGGAAGACACTGAACTCTGCTTCCCACAACTCTTCAACTCCTCCTGTAGGAAGAAAAAGCGCTCTGAGTCTGAGGCTGTGCTTGTTTTACATTGTGCTGTCCTCCATCTCTCTGCTCACTGCAACTCTCACCTGCTGGTCATCATCTCACTCTCCCACTTCAAGTAGCAAAATATTTCATCTGTTTCTGAGTGTGATGGACGTACAGAAATTCATGGGTCATGGGAAATTTTCAGATGTGATGAATGTGTTGATCGTATAATTTTAATCACTGCTTTGTTGAATTTTACCATGGATTATGTCTCTTAAATATCATGATGGAGTTGCTACTGTACAGACGCTAATACATATGATGTTCCTGTCTCTTCATGCAGGGCAGCTCCACACCCCCACCAACCTCCTCCTCCTCTCTCTGGCTGTCTCAGATTTCTTCGTGGGCCTCCTCATGTCCTTTCAGATTCTCTCCTCAGACGGCTGCTGGTTTTCTCAGTGACCACATGTGTACTCTGTACGGTGTGTTAGATTACAATCATCACCTCTGCCTCAGATAGGAACCATGGTGCTCATATCAGTCGACCGCTATGTAGCCATTTGTGACCTCTGGCATTACCCCAACAAATCACTGTGAGAGGAGCCTCAATCTGCACTTGTCTTTGTTGGGTTGTTCTGTTCTGTACAACAGTCTCGTAATGAAAGGAGAAACTTCACACAACCAGGCA